TAAATATAAGTGTTAACATTTAATAAGGTGAATTTTTAAATTTTAAATTGAGATTTCAATTCTCAAATATATGTTGCGACTCTAATTTTTTTTTAAAATCAAAATTAATATATACTAATCCCATTTACATATATGTATATATATATTTTTAAATAGTTAGTTATAATGTTTGAAGATATCAATGTATAAACTAATTTTAAATTATTAAGTAATAAATATTAATTATTTTATTATTTATTAACTGAAAATTATAATTATTCATTCTTTTTAATAGTTAAACTAAATAAAATTAGTTTATGTGATCTTGACAAATTATTACATAGCCATGATATACCCTAAGAGGGCCGACACCATTTTTTCATTACTTTTGGGTTGTGTCAAGTTTAACGTAATGACAAGTGATTTCCTTGTCAAATATTTTTCTTGACATTTGGTGAATTTAATTTTTATATACATTTACATAGATTTTTTTTAAAAAAAATAAATAATAAATCTAATAAAAATTAATTTTTTAATTAGTGATAATTTAAGCATGTTAGTATTTTAACTATAAATTTATCTTTATATACTACATTGAGTGATCTTGAGGCATTGAAATGTTAAGAAACATAGCTACAATTTATCTTTAATGAGATCAACCCACTTCAAGCTTGTTTGAGGCAACGTTTCAGCTGCGTAACCCCGAATACTGACACGAGGTTTGCCGGAAGGAATAGAAATATTAGAACGGAAGTCACGGGCCTCAATTACAAGTTACGGGCTGGTAGTAAAATGGGCCCAATGTTTTAAGAAGCCCAAAAGAGAGGAGAATAAAGGTGAAAAGCAGGTTATGCGGACAGGACTTGAGGCGCGTACTGAACCCACTTTGTCGGCGGCTAAAAACTCTCTCCACCGCCCTTTTTTTTAATGGTTAAATATTAATTTTGATCCCTTAATTTTACAATTTTACATGTTTTTTATTTTTTTATTTTTTATATGTTTTTTTAGTCCATTAATTATAAGAAATATTTTTTTAATCATTTTATCAATTAATCCATTAAATTTATTTAAATATGCACATTTTTATTTCTTCAACTTATAATACATAAATATTTTTTCTCTTAATTTAAAAGTTTAAAGACTAAAAAAATATATATTTAAACAAACTTAACGAATTAATTGATGAAAAGATTAAAAAAAGTATATTTTTTATAATTGAGGGATAAAAAATTACATCAAAACTTAAGTGATAAAAATTATGTAAAACTCTAAATATGAGATACCAAAACTAGCATTTAACATTTTTTAATCATAAATGACCATTTTTTTGTCTCTCTAACAATATGCATATATGAATATGTTTAACAAACTAATTGATGGAACAACTAAAATAAATATATTTTTTATAGTTGAGAAATGAAAAAAATACAAAAAAATATAAAATATAAAAAATATAAAATTCTAAAGTTAAAAGACCAAAATTGATATGTAACCTAACTAAAATTATTAATTTTGCTGAAGCCTAGTGTGTTGCCTTGTATAGTTGTATATGTGTAAAGTTTATAACTTGAGGAGCACTCGCCAATTGCACTCTCCAACCAACACCTCCTCTTTCATTGGGCCACGTTGTTCTGGTTATTTTTTTATGAAGTTGCCTTTCATGGCCTACAGGCAAGCTTATGTGGCCCAGTAAAAAGGCAAGTGTTGGCTGGAGAGTGCAGGAGGCGAGTGCCCCTAGCACTGCTCTAACTTGAATTATGGTTTCGCCTAAAAAAAAGAGCGGTAGACAGTTGTGTGGGCTGGGCTTTGGTCCAGTATACGGAAAATAACAAGGTAAAACTCTAAAACATAATCTTTGGCGGGCAAATTAAATTTTCGGAAACCTATGGCATCAGAAGTAAAAATGTGTTCCAAAAAAAATTAAAATTACCTTCCTGCCTGAACCGAAAATCTAAGAAGGCGAAAAATAAGCACCCGGCCCTTCGGATACAGTGGCACCCTGGCATCATGAGATGCATTCTCCTCTTTTTGGGCGGGTTCGAGCTCGTACATGATAAATTGTTAAAAAAAATAATAATAAAAATAAAAAATAAAAACATAAAAAAAATGAAAACAAAATAACTGAAAATCTAAGAAAGAACAATGCTGAAAAACAGAATTCATGCAATCCAATATCAGTTCCTTCTTTAAACCATGTTTTTCTTTTTCTCCTTCTTTACCCAGATCCTCAGATCCCCTCCAGTTCTCGGCGAAGCCAGCGATGATGAAATGGTGATCTGGGTCAAGGCGGAACATGTATTCATCAACGCATATTCGCGCAGAGTTAAGAAAACGGACGAGTAAGTTCTATTTTGACTTGTTTTCCACGGGAAATTGGTTAAGGTTTTTGCTTCTGATTCCTATGCCAGTTGATCGAACTTTGGTTCTTTTTGGTTACTAAGAAAATTACGGGAAAAGAAGAAAAATTAAGTTGAACCTGGGTTTTTTTTTTTGGTTATTTTCCTTCGGGTTTTTCAGGGGAAGTGAAAGGTGTATTTATTTATTTATTTATCTATTTAAAGAGAGAAAGAAAAATGTCAATTTCTGAGTATCCGTTTTCCTTCATTTTTAATTTTGTGGATTTTCCCATCTTTAGGGTTTTGATTGAGGGAGAGGGCAATGAAGCCAATAAAGAATCAATCATTGATGTACCGAAGAAATCTGCCTCAACAAATGAATTGAATGCATCTCTAAGAGCAGAATCTCCTACCCCTGGAAAAGTTCTCAATAAGAGGAGAAGCTATGCACATTTCCATTTGGAGCTAGGCCAATCTGATTTTCTTCTCCACACATGTTCAGTGGGCACAAGAATGCTGCTTGGGACGGAAGTGATGAAAAAACCCATAGCACATTTCGCAAGAATTACACCCAGAGAATTCAATTCAAGGTAATCACTTGAAGCTAAAGGAGTTTATTTTGTTGATTATAATGTTTCTTTCTTAAATCACTGGTTAATTTCTATAGGGATGGCACAATGAAGGGGTTATTCATATGCCTAATGGTGGAGGGGGTCGTGTTATTTTGGTGTCAAATTCTGATCCTGTTACTCAGAGAAATAAGGTTTGCATTTTGTGATTTTGAAGTCAAATTTACAGGCTTTAGCCGTATAATGTAGTTGATGTTGATGGGGGTTTTTCAGGATATGTTATATTTACAGGTCCTGGAGATTGTGCTTGGGGAAGGATAGATTTTTCGTAAGTTCTGTAAGGTAAGCTGACTCTATTAATGTTATTAACAAGGCAATATAAAGGATGGATGTATGTATGTCTGCATGTTAAAAAATTTTTAAATTTGGCACTTCTTTCTCCAATCTTGTTAGAACATCTGAAAGTGATTTGTAGTTATTAGACTCATCTTGGTTATTTTCTCCGAGTGCTTGGGCACCACATTGCTTCTTTGATGCTGGTTCGGTAATTCCATCATCAAGGGGAGGTAAAAACTGCCTCTTCTGATCTGTGAAGACCTGAGTGCAAGCCTATAGCATTTATATATAAGAACAAATTTATGCCTTAAAGAAGGCTTCCAATTTTCCAAAGTTCAGAACTACATAATCCCTATACCTAGCCAGTAAGAACACATGATATACAAAGAAACATTATCATTTAATTAAGTTTTGAAAAAAAGAAAAAGGAAAGGTTCCGCATATATTTGATCCTATTCCAAAAGACTAGTATGGCCATGAGTCTCAAGCAATACATAGTAAGTTATAAAATGGATGTTATAAGCGTTCTAGAAATCATTTTCATCCACTCAACACAAATCCTACACAAGTGACTAAGTAGCACAAGACTGATGGTACCGCTTGGTGCCAATTCTTTTTGATCTTTTCTGCTCATTGGTTCCACATTAGGCCAATGTAAGCCACGGAAGGAAATGAAACAAATGGTTCCAGAAGTCTAAGATTTTCAAATCATTCAACGTTTAAACCCTTCAAAAACAACTTGGACCTCCTTCAAGTGCATCTTTGTGCAGTTCTATCTAGGCAAAACCATAAGTTAAGCCCCTGAACAAACCCCAGAATCGTTATTAAGCCCTCAGACTTTAATTGCTACATATAAGCCCCTGAACTCTACAATAGAAGCAATTAAGTCCTTACTATCACAGCAACTTAACTGCTGTTAACTGCCGTTAATTGCTATTTGGGGACTGCCTCGTGACGAAATGTGGCCATTTCATGCCTACGTGGCAAGGATTTTAACATTTGATTTGTCCAATTAGATAAAAAAAATTTAAAAATAATTTTTATATTATTTTTTTGTATAATTTTACATGTTATTTAAATAATTAACTTTTTTTATTCATAAATTTGTCTAACTTATATTTTAAGAACACAAATTAAAAATACAATAAATATATTTTTTTGTAATAAGTTTATGTTAAAAAATAAAAGTTAACTTTTAATTTTTTAACTATCCAATTAAATTTATCTATGTAGCATTGACACTAAAATTAATATTAATTTTTATATTTTTTAATATACATTTATGATAAAAAAAATCCTTAAACTGTGCTCTATTAAAATTTTTTTATTTATTTGAAACTTGTGATATTAAGTATATTAACTCATTCAATAATATGTAAAAATTATATAAAAAAATTATACAAAAAAATTATCCTTATATCAGAAAAACAAATAGA